GCCAGGACGCCAAACCGCTAAGAGCTGGCGGCCGGACGGGCCCACACAGCCCAGCTGCTGCAGCGATGTTTTAAGGAGCCCCTTAAAATGTTGCCACGTCAGCACTTTGACGTCGCTGACCCTTCCCGGACGGCAGCACCACCAGGCCCTACCTGCAGTGCAGCCCACGGGGGGGAGGGGGAGAGCCCCAGACCCGCCCCTTCCAGGGACCCAGAGCCACGCCCCACCTTGCCAAGGACTCTGGAGTACCAGTAAGTCCTGGCAATTACTTTCCCCCATCTAAGGACCTGTCTGCAGAAATCTGGGAGGAAGAGAGGCAGGAGACCACGCTGGCTGCTGGCAGAACTCTGCATCCAGCCACAACATCATGAGAGAGCCAGGAGAAGGGACGTCGGTCACCTGCAGTCCAGCACCACACCCAGGATCCAGAAGCTCTATCTGCCCAATCTATCTCTGCCCTACAACATATCTACCCCTCCCCCTAGCTTGGTGTCACCTGCAAACTTGCTGAGGGTGCAATCTTGACTAGGGGTGCGAAGGGTGCCTAACAGGAAGAAGCAGCAACGGGGGGAAGAGGAGGGTACTTCAAAGCTTGAGGCCTGAGGCCAGACCCTGGGCTCCACATGGCGCTGCCGCTTTGAAACACTGTGTGCAGCCGGGGGCCAGCAGGGGTGTCCCCAGGCTGCACACGGTGTTTCAAAGTGTTAGCGCTACGTGGAGCCCAGGATCAGCTGGTGAGTTCCCTGGTGACCCCAGGCTCTGTACAGTGCTGCTGCTTTGAAACACCGCGAGAAGCCCAGCGTCAGCCTCCACGTGGTGTTTCAAAGCGGCAGCGCCCTGTGGAGCCCAGGATCAGCTGGAGTCCCCAGCTGATCCCGGGCTCCATGCAGCCCTTTCGCCTTTCTGTTGCTACACTCACCCTATAAAATGCATCGACTATTCGATTAGTTAATCCATCGATATTTAATATCCGTAATCGTGTGTTTGCATTTATTTGTGTGGCGTCGGTCCTTGAGACTCAGGGCTTGGAACGAAACCTCAGCTGGACTCTGGGAGCATGTCGCCTGGCGGAGCTGCCCACATAGCTCAGCACTGAACCCTGCTAATGCAGGTGAGTTCTCAGTGTCCCAATGAGGAAAGTGCCCAGCAGAGCAGACGCTCCCTCTTGCTTCCCGGCTTCCCTCCGCCTGCCCCAGGCTTCACAGGGGACAGAGCAAGCGGCCTAGATTACAATGGTGTCAAAAGTGAGGGTGTGGGAGGGGAGCTGGAGCCAGCAATACAGTCTCGTGGCAATTCTGGACTGACTCCCCTAGTGGTGACAGTCAGTGGCCACCTTGCCTAGCGGAGGGATGCAATGGCTGCGTTGTCCAATGGTGGGAGTTGGTGGCCAGGGCTGGGGCGGCCCGTCCATATAGGTGAACTAGGGGTCGCCCAGGGCGCCACGTTAAATGGGGCACCAAATGGTGGTGCAATATCATTGAGGGGTTTGGGGGGGGGCACCGATTGCAGGGTTCGCCTGGGGCGCCAGTTACTGGCAGCTAGTCTGGGCCAGGATCAGGGGAACACAGACCCTCCCTGCACCACCCAATTCCAACCCAGGCCAAAAGAAACAATCATTCAATTGTGCCCCACGCCTGCTCCCTGGGCCACATCCTGCCCCGGCTCCAGATCCTCCGCTGCTCCCACCAGACTCTCTCGGGATCCCCTTCGCAAGCTACTTCCCAAAGGTCTCCCCTCAGCCTTGCTTCCCGCCTTCCCCCATGGCTGAAGGTCACTTGACTGCAGGGCCTGCTCCCTGCCTGGGGAACTTCTGCAGCTTCTCTTCAGGAGGCTGCAAGTCCCTCCTGCTTTGCCTGCACAGACCGAGCTGAGCCCTTCCCTTCTCCGCTCTGCCGGAGCCACTCCTTAACCCTCGCCTTGCCAGGGCCTACCCCTCCCAAATAGAGCCGGGGTGCAGAGTCCCTGGGACAAAGCTGTCCAGGTTCTGCTGTTCTGCGTCAGAGACACTCTGAAAGGGCTGGGGATAAGTGCAGAGCAGCTGGGTCTGAATCCTTCATTCACACTCCCGTAGACCAGGAAGAACTCCCCGGAAGTCAATGGAGTCACATCAGGGCAGGAGAGATCAGAATCCAGGCCCATACTGCAGACGCTCTGCGCACTCACCGCGCCAGCAGAAGCCGCAGGGAATTGCAGCAGCTCAAGATGAAATCGGGGCCCCGTGTTTCTGTTTCACAAGTGGCCTGGTGTCACTGAGGCCTCTCGGGAATTTGCAAGGGCTGAACCCTCTTTGCGCCAACTGCAGGAATTTGTTTCCCTTGGACGTGCAGAGAGAGCCAATGAGATGCATGTTAATGAGTTTAACCTTTGCCTCGTGTTTGCATGTGTCCAAGAGCTGCTTTGTGCTGAGGCCGGCTCTGTGGGCGAAAGTGGCATTCGGGATGGAATCCGGGCGCACCGCATTTGTAAACAAAACTCTCCTTGACGCAAGACGGGTTTGATCGTTTTGTTCTTAGGCAGAGCCCCAGGAAGTTGCCTGGAAAATCCAAGTGCTCCTTCCCTGTAATGCAGCCGGGCACCTGCCCGGCTTCATTGGGGTAACCCGGCCCGCCCTCACGCCGACATGCTGGAAGGGGACAGAACCAAATCCCCTTAGAAACTATCCAGTAACTTGTAGGCATGGGCAGTGGGTGAAGGTAGGGCTGGGGAAGGCTGTCCTACAGCCCAGTCCCTCCCCGCCACTTCTGCTCAGGCCACACCCCCCATCACGGAGAGGTGGGGCGGTGCTAGGCCCGCGCCTCCCTGCCTGGACCACTCTTGTCCCTCAGAGCGGGGGTGCACTGTGATAGTCACAATCGCTTCTGCTCCCCCGTGCTCCGGGAGTCAGGAGGCGTCACCCCCAGAGCAGGGGGAGAGCAGGTGCACGGGGTCAGCAACACTCCGCCCAGTGCACCTATTGTGGGGATGGAGCATGGATGGGGCCAGGCTGGCGGTTTGGGAAGGCAGAATCCTAGAATCCCAGAGCTGGCAGAGACCTCAGGAGTCATCGAGTCCAGCACCCTGCACAAAGCAGGACCAACCCCAACTCAATCAGCCCAGCCAGGGCTTGGTCAAGCCGGGACTTAAACACCCCTAGGGATGGAGATTCCACCCCCTCCCTAGGGAACGCATCCCAGTGCTTTCCCCCTCCCCCCTGCTTAGGGAAATAGTTTTTCTTAATATCCAACATCCAACCTGGACCTCTCCCACCACAACTTGAGACCATTGCTCCTCGCTCTGCCATCTGTCACTACTGAGAACAGCCTCTCTCCATTCTCTTTGGACCCCCCTTCAGGAAGTTGAAGGCTGCTCTCAAATCCCCCCTCACTCTTCTCTTCTGCAGACTAAATAAGCCCAAATCCCTCAGCCTCTTCTTGTAGGTCATGTGCTCCAGCCCCCGAATCATTTTCATTGCCCTGCACTGGACTTCCTCCAATTTGTTCTCATCCTTTTTGTAACGAGAACATTATTGGGCCCAAAACTGTACACAGCACTCCAGCTGTGGACTCACCAGAGCCAAATAAAGGGGAATAATCACTTCCCTAGATCTGCCGGCAAAGCTCCTCCTAATGCATCCTAATCTGTCATTAGCCTTCTTGGCTACAAAGGACTCATATCCAGCATCCCATCCACTGTAACCCCATGTCCATTTTTGCTGAACTGCTACTTAGCCAGTCAGTCCCCAGCCAGTAACAATGCTCGGGATTCTCCCGTCCCAAGGGAAGGATTTTGCACTTGTCCTTGTTGAACCTCATCTGATTTCTTTTGGCCCAATCCTATAATTTGTCTAGGTCACTCTGGACCCTATCTCTGCCCTCCAATGTATCTACCTCTCCCCATAGCTTAGTATCAATCGCAAACTTGCTGAGGATGCAACCCATCCCCTCATCCAGGTCATAAAGAAGTTGAACAAAATTGGCCCTAGAACCGACCCCTGGGGCACTCCATTTGAAACCAACCGGCAGCCAGACATTGAGCCGTTGCTCACTACCCATTGGGCCCGACAGCCTAGCCAACTTTCTATCCACCTGACAGTCCGTGTATCCAATCCATACTCCCTTAAGTTGCTGGCAAGAATCCTGTGGGAGACCGTATCAAAAGCCTTGCTAATGTCAAGGTATATCACATCCACCGCCTTCCCCATGTCCACAGAGCCAGTTACCTTGTCACAGAAGCTAGTCAGAAGGCAGAGCCTTCCCCCACTAGGATACCGGCCGCCTTGGCTTGTAGGGGGAAAGGAAACATGAGTCAGGCCAGGTCTGGGCTGTGGCTGCTCAAGGTCAGTCTGAGAAAAATCTCCTGCAGAGTTTCTGCCCTCTTAGAGGTTGCGTTGAAAATGAATCCCAGGACAGGGCAATGCAGGGTGAGCAGCAGGGCCATTTCCTCCTGCGGCCCAATAACCACAGCTCCCGGGGAAAGTATTTTTCCTTCCTGCAAAAATGTGGTAAAAAATGGTCAAGTTTTCATTGTCACCTGCATTCACACCGGTCTGCAATAGGGGCTGGGTTTGCAGCAACTCCTTGGGCTGCTGGGAACAGGATGGGATTCTGGACAAACCCCCACAACTCTGTGTCTGAAACGGACCTTTCCCTGGTTTCCTGTCCTTTGACCAAAGTACCCCCATCCCCCGCTAAGTTTGTTTAAACAAAAGTTTAACCCCCTCCCCCAACTGTTCCCCAGGTCTGTTCATAGCAAGAATAAAAAGAAACTACACAAAATTTCCCATACAGAATAAAGACAAAGAGGGAGGGATGGTTCATTAGTTTGCACACTGGCCTGCTAAACCCAGGGTTGTGAGTTCACTCCTTGAGGGGGCCATTTAGGGATCTGGGGCAGATCTGTCAGGGATGGTGCTTGGTCCTGCTGTGAGGGCAGAGGACTGGTCTCAAGGTCCTTTCCAGGTCTATGAGCTAGATAGAGATCCATGCAATTTTTGGGGCTCAGGCTCAGAGGGCTATTTAGCAGTTGGGTTTTCTCCCCCTTTCTACACTGCCTGTGGCCTTTTCCAGCTGCTTTGGTGCCTGCATTATGGTAGAAAGGCAAAGAAATACAAAAATCTCCATGCCAGGGAGCCCTCCACACTCAGCCTAGCCCTTCCTTAATCCCATCCCTTCACTCTGACGTATTCCTTTGTGGGTGGGGGCTGCCATGGCTCTGCACAGTGGTCACGGGGCTTCCTTAAAGCAAATCACTCATGAACAGCTCCTCTCCACCAGCTGGCTTTGAACCCGTCCCACTCTGCTGGCTGTCCGCATGCCCCAGCTGGTGCTCAGGTAGCTGACACGTCTTTCGATCTTTTCATCTTCCTGCCAGTCCCCTGACGTTGGTGTGACGTAGTGGGGGGGAACTTGCTAACTCACTGGCCACTGTCTGTAGCACCACCGATGCGGGGTCGTGGCCCCCACGCCAGCCAGTGGGGGTTCCCCCAGAGCCAGCAGCATAGAAACCAGCCAGGTACCCTCACTACGTCACAAGGAGAGGGAGTGAGTGTCTGTCTGGAAGGATGGAGGAAGCAGCCTCAGCAACAGGCTGGGGGGTTTAGAAGCCAAGACCCCCCCCATATCAAGGGGGGCTGAGGCATCCTAGGCCTGCCCTGTAACCTGATGACATCTGTGCTGTGCTGTATGCTGGAGAAGCAATAAACCACCTCTGTTCTACTGGCTGGTGGAGTCTGTTCGTGCCATTTTGGGGGTGCAGGAGGCAGGGGACCCCCAACGTGTTGTCACAGCTGGTGATTCCTTCTCTTTCTGGCATCGTGCTAAGCTCTGAACCCGGCACTCCAGCAGCGGCACCGCCTTTCGAATAGCACAGAGCCAGACACCGCTGCACTGCCCTCCTGCCCCTCCCCTTTCCGCGCCCCCTCTCCCCCACTGCTTACTCTCTAGCACTCCCACTTT